CCCCGGTCGGCCCCGCGCGCCGCTGGGCGGGGAGAGGCGGCGCCTCAGCGGGGCGGGAAGGGCGGGCGCCGGGACCTCCCGTGGGAGGGGCCCCTCAGGCACGGGCTCTCCACGGAATCACCGGAACAAGGAGGTTGGAAGAGACCTCCGAAAGAGGCGCCTCCAACCTCTGATCGAACACCACTGTGTCAACCAGACCACGGTACCTAAGTGCCACGTCGAGTCTTTCCTCAAGCACCTCTAGGGACCGCGGCTCCACCAGCTCCCCGGGCAGCCTGTTCCACTGATCACCCTTTCCGAGAAGAAATTCCTGCTAATGTCCAACCTAAGCATACCCTGGCATAGTTTCAGACTGTGCCCTTTAATCGTGTCGCTGGTTGCCTGGAATAAAAGGCCGATCCCCACCGGCCTACCTTTCAGAGCAATAAGGTCTCCCCTGAGCCTTCTGTTCTGGCTAAACAACCCCAGCTCCCTCAGCTCTTCCTCTTAAGACCTGTGCTTCAGACCTTTCACCAGATTTCCCTTCTCTGAACTTGCTCCAGTGCTTCAATGTCTTACCTGAATTGAGACATCCAGAACTGGACATAGATCTCAGGCAGCGGCCTTTCCAGCACCAAGAACAGGGCAAGAATCACTTTCTTAGTACTGCTGGCCAGCTATCTCTGATACAGACATCAGTCCCCTCCTGCCCTTTCTCGCTCTGTGGGAATGGAGCAGAGAGCTGGGACTCTTACTAAGGCCATGAGGCCCCAAGATGAGGTGGGACTGTGCCCCAAGTTGGGGTGATGGTCCCCAGGTCACAGCAATGTTGGTCCAGGCCGAGGTGACGGAGGTGTGTGCTCCAGTGATTTTGCCTCAAGCTGAGGCAATGGGGCTCTGGGTTGAGACAATGGTGTGCTGCGTGGAAGCAATGGGGCCCCAAGGTGATAGTGCTCCTAATTTAATTCATGGTCTCCATGGTCTGAGATGCAGAGGGACTCCAAGCTGAAGAAACAGTGCCCCTAGTTGAGGTGATTGCCCCTAGATTTTGATCATGGGGTTTCAGGGTGAGGGGACAGAATCACAGGTTGAGGTTATGCTGCCCAAGGTTAAGGCAACAAGGCTCCATGCTGAGGGGATAGTTTTCCATTTTGGAGTAACAGTGCCCTATATCAAGTTGATGGCACCCCAGATGGTGGGGGTGGTGCCTCAGGTTGGGATGATGGCATTCCTGGTTGGTGTGCTGGCAGCCCATAGGGACTGGAGGGTGCCCCAGGCTGAGGTGATTTGAACTACCTTAAGATGATGGTGCCCCATATTAAGGCAACAGGACCAGAGGTTGATGTGATGGGCCCCTACTTCACAGTGCCATGTTGTAGTGCTGGGCAATGTATTCTGAGGAAAGGGAAAGGGGCAGCTCATCTGGAGGACTTCTAGGGAAGCCTCGTCCAATATTTGAGGTTGATTTGGACCCCTCCCCAAGCTACCTTGAATTTCAGTATAATTGTTGCAGAAACATGGATAAAACCTTCAAGCAGTTTCAGGAAAGAATTATATGAAAAGAAAGACTCCCAGATTACTGATCCATGTATTCAAAATACAAAATTCAGCTTTATTTTGGCCCCATTGTTAATCAGGAAAGAGATTTAATGACATGATCACATTTTTTGCTAAGCATATTGAATTTTGAATTAAATCAGGGCTGTGCAGACAAATCAACTATTGTGTATATTGTTCTATTTCACTTGGCACACACACATAGGCACATACCTATGGATGTATGGTGCATGGACACATACACACACATTTTTAAAAATACATATAGCAAATGTGTCAGAACACTACAAGAAAAGAAAGAAATCTCTTGAGAAATACAACTTAACATGTCTAAGTTAACCAGAGTCAAGTCCTACTTGTGCTACACAACATTTAACGGAGGCTCCACAAATTGCATTGACTAAGTTTTTATACTTGTCATGTTGTTTCCTTTCTTATTTTTCTGGCACCTCTCTCTTCAGTTCACTGTTGAAATGTTGAATAATGACAACTACAACTAAAATAAATGCAAACTGTATTTGGAAAACTTGCTACAAAATGCTGAGCCTTTGCTGACCTCGTCATGTGAGGTCTTAGGTTCCTTACATTGGACACTGAATGGGTGCTTTTGTAATTTTTTCCTTTGTGTCAAGTTCCTGACTGCAAATACGCAAAATACAATACCACTGTCTTAAAAGGTGTAGCAAAAAAAAAAATAATAAAATCAGTTAATATTAATGTAACTTACATATTTTGTATATTTAAGATACTGAGAAGTATGACATCCAACTCTCCTTTCTCTTGCTCTAGGATTCCTGTGATGGCTTCTAACAGTGTTAGTTATCCAGGTTTACCTGGTTTATCACCAGGTTTACAAGTTCACAAGCACTTCTGAGTTTTGTGCCCTGAACCTTAGAAATTTCTATAAACTCCTGGTATGACTGTAACTGCAATGCAGCACCACAGCAGTTATAAAAAAAGCACATAATTAATTCAAAGTTGTAAGTATGCTAAAAATATAAACTACGTATGCATTCTACAGACTTCTTTTTTTTGCCTATGATGTAATTTTTTTTGTTTTAATTGAGAAGTGATAACTTGTTTTAGTTCTTTTATAGCAATGGGATCTGATCTGGCTGACATAACAGAAATAAAATATGAAGAAGCCTACAGGAAAAGTATTCATTTTAATCTTGCTTAAAAATTTGAAAGTGCAAATTCATTGAAGTTTAAAATTTGCAGTACTGTGAAGGTGCAAGTTGAACAATTGTCACTAAAGGTAGCTGCAAAACTGTACAAATGAATGGGGTTTTTCCTAGGGTATGTTACAAAGATAAATTATACTTCTAGCTCAAAGGAAAATAGTGAAGATGCTGAATCCTTCCCTAAATCAGATATAATTTATCTTTTAAAAGATGTAACTGTCTTATCTCTGTAGGAAAGATATTTGCTGTAGTGCTCAGATAAGGTAGAATTTGAATCTCTTTTCTCATAAACTAGTTTCATGACTAAATAGTTACAGAAAGAGCATATAATAATCCCCAGTTCAGAAAATGGACCTCATTGAAGTCCTTTGGTCTTGTAGAGAAAAGTAATTTTTTAAGTACAAAAAGGGAAGTTCAAATAACACTGAGGAAAATTTGAGAATTGCTATTAACTTCAGTGCAGCTGAAGTCATCTAAAATACTAGGAATTTTACCTCAGGTTGAAAAGTCATAGAAACTTACTAAGAGCTAAAAGAAAAAGGATCAATTCTTCCTGCTCTATGGATACACATTTGAGTTGATTTAGACATATCTAATTCAGGGTATGATGTGTAAATCCTAACTAAAATGAGTGGGACTATTCAGACAAGAAGTGGTTTTGTGCATAAGCACTGCAGGACTAAATTGTTATTGCAGGTAGGTTTGGGTTTTTTATCTTCCTCTCCACTTCTGAGAATTAATACTGTAAGAAAATACTCTCTGTTTACACAGGACTAACAACATTACATGCTCTGCTTCAGGTTAATTTAAAAATTCAATTCCCTTAAGTAGTTTTGACAGAGGCTCAGGCAGTTTCCTGAATGCATTTGCAGTAGGTCTCTGTCTGGTTTCTTGTGCGGATCTTAATAAAGATCCCAGAGCAGCTCTTGAACTTAGTCCAAAGTCCTGTATATTCTGACATCTTTGATGAGTAAAGTGTGCGCCAGGAGATGGATATTTGCTTTCTATTTTCTACCTGATGAGAATAAAATAACTTTATAAGAAACCTTCTGGCATGTTGGGCCTTATCCAAAAGCTTTCAGACTCTGCAAGAATCTCTGCTGATTTTAACAGTCTTATGTATTGAAAAAAACCCAAAGGTCCCAAAGCCCTTCAGTGAATCATCAGGATATTTTACCACATAGTAATTCACATGGGAAAGGACTGCCATTGCAATTGTATTTTCACTGTTATGATATGATGATTTTTACCTTTAATCTCATTAGACGTGTTACTTAAATAATCAATTTTGGATACTCTGTGAATGGTCCAAACTAGCATTTAAAAGGATTTTGTGCAATTTAATATCCATTAAATAGAACAAACTGTAATAGAATTATGTATTTTATCTCACTAAGTTACTGTAAGGACTTTGGATCAGATTGAGGATCAGTGTCTCCTTTGATAAGTGACCAACAGGGGACCTAAAATCACTTCATAACCACTTTTTGTGATTTTGAGAGGAAATACATTGTTATGCAAACCTCTAATACACACAGGCAAGTATATATGGACACCAGATTATCAGATGCTGTGATTTATGTTAGAAACAGCTTAGAAAATATAGTGATGGAGTAAAACATTTGTTGTAACTCAGAATCCTGACTAGCTCAAATCTGTTCTGTGCCTGTTTCCATTACAGTTCTGCACCTTGAGCTGACATGTAATTCCCTATTACAAGTGCTGTTCCAGGGCTGTAAGAGACTTTTAGACACCTGCAGTATTCATGCTCAGTGTCCTGGCTTGCTTAGCATCACAGAAGCTCAGGGAAGTTTGGTGTCTGGTTTTATAAATGCTGTTACTCTAGAGTGCTATTGCACTCTAGAAGTTATAAGGAAATGTAAGCATTCACAAGATCAGAACATTGGTATTTCTTTTCTTCATCTGGGTAGTAGAGTTCATTTGTCAGAAGTAACTTTTTTAGAGAACACGAATAAATAAATCACTACTCCAGTGTCCACAACAATAACTGTGTTTAAAAAGTAAAGTGGTTTTTTTTTTACACCTCAATTGACAGAGCAGTGGCAAACTTACCAGATGCTTACCAGTACACTTCTACCTCTAAACCCTTCTATAGAGTTTACATGTATCTTCTTAAAATGAAGCCATGGATGTTTGTAAATCCACTCTTGCAGTGTGGCTTCTGTAAGGAGATCATTGCCATTTACTCCTACTCTTGTTGCAAAATGTGGAATGTGTAAAAATTCTCTAAAAAAAGGTTGCTCTTTTATGTTTGATCTTTGTATACTTTCAAGACTAATCAAGAAGGGAGATGTAATCCTTGAAACAGATAGCAGCTAAAAAGCAAGCTCTAAGTGATGTCCATGTGTTAGAAAAACGAATTGCTTGTTGGTGGAATTGCACTGTTAATGTTTAGGGCTTGATGTGCTTCGGTGATCTCAGACCCAGGGGGAGGTTAACAAAGCTTGGGGAAAAGGATGTACCACTGATAGTGGACACAAAGAATGAAGAATTTATGGGACACAAAGGACATTTGGCAGAACTCTCAAGATGAGGGAGAAAGCAATAAACCCAACTCACCAATTGTGCTGAAATCAGTTCCTACTTGATAAAAGGTAATTCCAGCAGAAGGAGATTGCAACCACCGACTCAAGGACCACTGACCCAAAAAATCTACCAAATCAAAAGAAGGCCAAGCAATCAGACTGATTAGCACAGGAAATGAGAGAATCAACAGAGGACAAAACATTAATTAATAAGAGAACTATGAAACTTGTAGACTATGAACACTAATTCATTTGTTTGCTAAAATGTACAAATAGTAGAAAGCTTTGATATTCGGTGTGCTTGATTTGTGGAATACCACTGAGCACCCAGGCTTGCACAACTCTGAAATAAGTAGGCAATGTCTCTTGTGAGTGTGTAATTCTTGGCTTGTTGCACACTGTAATGAGGCTGATTTTTGCAGACAACACTCTGAAAAGAACAAGGCCTCCCCATTCCGTTGTGCTCAGTAGTTGCTATGAACTCACAAATCTGGTGGAGCTGTAGCTGTGCCACACATATGGCAAGATGAACATGTGTCCCAAGGACAACTGAAATATGGCAAGCCTTGTACCCTTACAGGAATTTGTACTCAGATCTACCACAAACATATAAAATATACAACAGAAGGAGGATAGTGAAAGACAGGAGGGCTGACAGGCTTCTGTTGGGGTGGTGAGGCTGTGGTTTTTTATAATCACTGTCGTTCCATATTCATAGCTGTTCTATCAACTTTTTATTTCTGAAGTCCAGTTATTTATGGCTTCCTTTGGCTGATCGGAGAGGAGCAGGCGCATAATTCCCACACTCAGGAGGGTTTATAGATCTCTGAGATGCACATGCCAAGGCTTTTGTCCTAAGCTCTGGCTAGGACTTCGATGACCCGGACTGATCACGCCGGGTCCCTCTGTGTCCAGCCGCCGCCCTCCTTGCTACAGCCCCCGCGGCGGAGAGGCGTTCCGTAGCTTTCCGCGGAACCAAGCTCCGCACTGCAGCCGGCGGCGATTCTCCTCGTTTCGTCCGAGCGTACCCGTTCCCTGGCCTGTGCGTGGGGACGCCTCCAACCCCGCCACAGAGCAGAGCCCTCCGGGACACAACACAGTCCAAGAC